GGTTCGAATCCCCGTCGGCACCAATCTTTTTTTTTTATGGACCTAATCGAGTCAGGCATGAACAGATCTGATCAGACATGAACATGCCTGGCCAGGTCTGATCAGACCCGGTCATTTTTCATGTCTGATTAGACCTGAAGACTCATGCCTGTTCATATCTGATCAGATCTGATCATTTTTTCCTGGGTGTAGATCGTGTTCAGTTAGCATTTAATGCTAACTTACTTTCTGATAGTAAGTAAATAAACTGTTTTAGCAGTTTGAATTTTAGTTTTTGTAAAAATAAATTAATTCATTTTAGTATTATTATTTTCAGTAACTGACGATGAATTTCAAGAAAAAGACAACGGGTTAAAGGAAAACATTGACCCTTGGACAAAAGTAATCAAATTTTGGTCTGATACGTCGAAAAGGAGAATTTATAATTTGATTTCAGACACTTCAATAACTACTTATATCAATTCATATCCAGTGTTAAAGCATGTAACTTAAGGGCCTAATTTGGTCAGACTAAAAATCATACAGTATAAACAATACATACATATATAATAAATAATTATCCATTTCTTAGTCTATTATTACAAATTTGTTTTAGAATGATATTGACTTCAAAACTCTTTACGCGGATAAGACGAATAATTTGATTGAAGGATTCGACTTACTTTCCAAACAATTAATTGGACTCTGTGAGAAGAAAAAAAGAAAGCCCGAAAGCGTTAAAGAGATTTTGGGTAAAATCAATGTTTTAACAGAAAGTACTGATTGTAAATCAGCAGGTATGATCAATAATGGGACTATATTGCATTTTTATATGACATTATATAAATTTTCTTATTTTTTTAGACCTAAGAAGAGTTCATATTTTAAGACTTATATGTAGTGCATTTATTAGGAGCTTTATCGTTATAATTTTCCTCCCTACGTTCATAATTTAATTACTTGTTATTTATTACAATTACAGACAGATATACAGTTAGTTGCAGAGCTTAAGAGTCATCGAGAGCAGTTGAAAAAATATGTCTTAAGCGAACAGCCAATTGTGTCAATAGTGGGAGATTCTCAGATTAAATCCTGCAACATCCATATTAACGAAAAGAATTATACTTTATCATCGCCTTTTGCAGCAGTTGATATTGCCTTTAAGAGCTTTTATTCGTTTCAATTAGATTACCCAAAGGAAGCAGAATATCCGTGGATTGTACTTCAACAAAAAATTTACGGTTTAAAAGAAGAAAAAGACGGAGCAGTAATACCGAGTATTTCGACATTTCTTTCGGACCTGAACAGTGTTAAGTTTTAACCAAAAAGAAAACTAAATAATAAAAAAAAGGTCATTCGGCAGCCGAAATGGAAGTAGATTTCATGATGAATAAAATTAAGAACTACTAGGATTAAAAACAAAAAAAAATAACGTTTAATGAAGAAAGAGAAGAATTATTGTACTTCAGTACTTTTCAGTCAGTTTTGTATAGACAAAACGACTGCAAGAGTAAAATTTCTTAAAAATGATCCTAAGACGAATTTTTTTT